CCACACTGGATGTAGAGATTACTTAAAAATAAATGATTGTTTAAAAAAACAAAAATAAAGTATGTTTCTTGTAAACAGTATATAGTTGGATCATCACTGAAATTTTATATAAGAAAAAGTTTTAAAAACATAAGGGCAAAATACATTAAAAAGGCATACCCTTTTCTGAAATTGAAGTACTACCAAGACAAAATATTTTTTGAAAAAAAAAATAAGGGAAAACTTGTCCCATCAGATATCAAAACACTCATTATGAAAAGTATTATAACTAAAATATTAATGGTATTTGATGAATAGACAAATACATTAGTGAAAAAGAGTAGAATCCAGAAAAATATCCACATATGTATATATCTATGTAATATTAAATCAAGGGGGAGATTATTCAATAAAAGGTGTTAGGATAAGTGACTTCCATTAGAAAGAAAACAAAACTAGATTCTCAAAACTAAAATCCAGTCACATTACATGAAACTAAAAATTACTATGAAATGATAGAAAAATACCCTATAAGTAATAATGGAATAGGGGAGACTTTTCTAGGTAATACACAAAAACCAGTTTTTAAATTTCTGTATGATAAAAAACACCATAAACAGACTTAATGCAAATTTAATTACTGCAACTAAAGCTGTGGCTTGAGAGACAGCATTAAAAAGTGAATTCACTTCCAGGTCCACCATTTGAAAGTCCACCATTAAAAAAGTGAATTTAGGGGCGCCTGGGTGGCTCAGTAGGTTAAGTGTCTGCCTTTGGCTCAGGTCAAGATCCCACAACTCTGGGATCAAGCCCCGAACCCCCAGGCTCCCTGCTCAGCAGGGTGTCTGCTTCTCCCTCTGCCTCTTCCCCCTGCCTCCCTTCTGCTTTGCCCTCTGCCTCCTCCCCCCTAACCCCCCCCCGCTTGTGCGCGTGCTTGCTCTCTCTCTCTCTCTCTCTCTCTCTCGCTTACTCTCTCTCTCAAATAAATAAATAAAATGTATTTTTTAGGTGAATTTAACTTCTCAAAATATCGGGTTTGGGATTTTTTTAAATTTTAAAAATGAAGATAATTCCTACCTCACAATATATTTTAATGTTAAATGAGAGAATAGCTATAAAAGCATCTAGTATGAAATCTGTCTGCCACATTATAGAAGCTTCTTATTTCACCTTAAGTTGGTATTACATTACATTATTACATTAAATGAGGAATTAACAAGCTGCAGTCAGGAATAGCAAGATTCCTGTATCTCGGTTCATGATAAAACTACTTTATAATTATAAAAACTACTTTATAATAAATGAAAACACATTTCCCCACATCCCTCACCCACTATGTTTGCCACGTAAAGATGGAAGGTAAAGTGGCAAAGCAGCCAGGACTGGCCCCAGTTTAAGAGCAAAACATAACCAATATAAATATACATCAATAGCTACATCTTATGTCATATCTTTCACCCATTAAAACCTTTCTCCCCAAAATATCTTTTTTAAGATTTTCTTCCTAAGTTCTCCAACAAGGATCATATCTGAAACAGAATCTACAAATGAAAAACCTTCAGAATGGTACACAGTAAACACTGTTAAGGATAAAACATAAACGTGTATCAGGTAAAGACTAAAGTTTTGAAGACTTGTTAATGCCAATATTTTTATATTTGAACACTGCTTAATCAAAAATGTTTCACAATTCAGAAAGTGCAAATTCAACCTTTTTTTTAATATTCACTTCCTGCATGAACCATAGTATGTTTGAATAAAGGAAAAGCACAATTTTTAATTCTATAAAATTCTAAAGAGCAACTCCATATACAATTTAGAGTCCAAACAAATTCAAACTTCTTCAAACAAATGTTGGTCAAAATGGAAAATTCCAATTTGAAAAAAAGTATGCTTAGACACATGTACTTTCTTGTAGATTTTTAGATGAACAAGATTTTGACCTTCAGACTAGTTTTTAAAAAAACTAAAAAGGTAATTTTTAGTCACACAAAATTACACAACAAAATGTGCCTTCCAATCTAAAAACAAAACAAACAAAAAAATGTCCATTGGAATGTAAAAGTAACCATCGGCTTTATTCACATTACTACAGACAATGTTGCAATAGCAACATCCTTCTCTCCCTATTTCAACTAATCCTCCTATTTTCCTTACCGACTTAGCAGGAAAATTAATGTTTAGAACTTGAACACTGGTAAATTTTTCTTCAGCAATATCTGCCTTCTGCAACAATTCTACAGCACCCAAGGCAGTTATGCCCCCATGCCAGACTTAAATGCCATAAGATTCATTTACAAAGGAAAAATAAAAGTAAGAATTAGTTTTAAAACATCACAACAGATCAGAATACTACAAGGAATAAATAGTGCAGCTGCCTTGCTATCAAAAAGCAAAAACAGGGCAACTGGGTGTCTCAGTTAAGTGTCTGCCTTAGGCTCAGGTCATGATCTTAGTGTCCTGGGATCCAGCCCCAACTGGGGGGGAGGGGCTGGCCCTTGCTCAGGGGGAGCCTGCTTCTCCCTCTCCCTCCCCGCTCATTCTCTCTCTCTCTCTCTCAAATAAATAATCTTTTTTTTTTAAGATTTTATTTATTTATTTGAGAGGGAGAGCAGAGGAGGAATCAGAGGGCGAAGCAGACTCCTCGCTGAGCAGAGAGCCCCGAAGCAGGCTTGATCCCAGGACCCGGAGATCATGACCTGAGCTGAAGGCAGAAGCTTAATCAACTGAGCCACCCAGGCGCCCCATCAAATAAATAAAATCTTTTTAAAAAGATTTTTTAAAAAGCAAAACCAAAAACAAAACAATAAGCCCACCCCTCACAAATTTTCTATTCTAATATTAAAGTTTCAATATATCATTCACAACATGCAGATACTCTTAAAAGTCAAGTTTCTCTTACACATAAAGGATATGGATAAAAGAATTCTAAAATATTCTTTTCAAATGCTATACAAACTTACATAGTAATGGGGTTATAGAAAGACTGGAAAAATTAGGAATGTGAGGTGAGCGATGAGACCTTTATTTCTTGGCATACTTCCCTCTATTGCCAATCTAATCTAGTTCCAAAAATGTATACTAGATATTGGAGTTCTCTGAATCAATTTCTCTTCCCAATCTGCAGCCAACCATAACTGGAATACTGGAAGCAACTCTTTGAAAAATCGCTAATATTGAATTAAAATAGAATAGATATTATATTCAAGTTTAACAAAGTTCACTATAATATTCCATACAACTTAATCAGTATCTTTCCCTCTTATTTTATATTCAATGATTCCTTTATTTCAAAAACAAAGACATCACATGGTTTGTGAACACCACCAGTGACTACAAGTATTTCCATATCACTTCTCTCAACTTGTTTAAAAAAATCCAACTTAAAATGTGAAACAAATTGAGTATAAAGCCACATTCTCTGGAGGGAAAATGCTGTTACTTCATTAAAAAAATAGCCAAGTCATATAAATAAAAATTCACAAAAAGCAGAATTTTCTGAGGTACACTTTAAAAATTACTTCATTTGCCACACAGTCTGGACTCTACCCTGCAAAGCTGTCCTAGGCAATCCCTGTGTGTCCCCTTTGGGTCCTTTTAACTCACACGGAGCATAAAACTTTCAAAAACTAGTATCAACAATAGCAATCAAACGAGATGCAGCTTTTTACAGGCAATAGCCCTAAGCTCCAAATAAAATTAACACCCTCCTCAAAAAAAAGCAAGTCAAAAAAAAAAAAGTTCTTAAATTTTCTCTTAGGAGTTCCTCAGTTTTACAATTCTTTTCTTTGCTTTTCAGTGAAAAGAGAATGGGAAATCAGTGATAAGAATGAGAACAGTTAGTTCCCAGGAGAAGGATGCAAGAATTTAAAACTCAGGGTTGGCCTAGAGATCGGCAGGCAAATACACACCAATGCTCAGGGAAAGCTTTCAAGAAATGTCATTATCTAAGGCAAGTCGTAAGGCCTCTTATTTTAAGGCCTAAGGACAGCCCTATACATGCACCGTAAAATACAACCTATCAAAACTATTCTCCAAAAACAACTCAGGAGTTTCCCAAGATGCCCGAAACGTAAAGGGCAAGTACTCTGGACACCTCAGGACTGCCGCCTCTCACATGGGAGGGAGGCCAGCCCCTGGGAATCCGAGTGCCACCACGTCAGTTTATGTGACAGATCCACTGGGAGCATCCGACTGTGATCCGGGGCCCTCTCGGGCCGACGCTGCTGGAAGAGGAACATACATGCAATCTTCAGGGCCCTCCTACTTCCGTTCTCAAAACAGAAATGCACTATTTCTCCTAGTCCTCACCCCTCAGCCCAGTGCCTCTCAACTGCGGGGAGAGCTCAAGTGGAAAGAAAAGCAGACAGTCGCCGACCAGGGTCGACAGAACGCGACTGGTCAAAGCACTCCCACCCGCGACTCCGGGGGCAAAGCGACGGCCAGCGTCTCCCTGAGCGCCCCCCTGGCAAGGGACACGCAAGCAGCAGCAGTCCCAGGTCGCCCCACTCCTTCGTCCCCGGGGTAAGGGGAGCGGAAAAGCGCAAAGAGGAACTAAGTCAACTGCAAGAGGGTGCCCTGCAAGCTCATCAAGGAGGGGGTGGGGCGGGAGTGGAAACGAAGAAGGAGCGGAAGGAAGGGGCAAGGAGCAGCCAGAGGAAGGAGACGAGAGCGCGCGCCCGCAAAGGGCACGACTCTCCGGGGACGCGGCTGCACCCTGGTTCCTCGAAGCGGACGGGTGCTCCCGGCCTCCGGGGCGCTCCTCCCCGGGCAGAGGACGAGGAAGCGAGATGAGGAGGCGACGTCCCCCTCCCGGGCCAGCCTCAGCCCTCATCAAGGGTCGGTCGGGGCTGCGGTGCCCTCGCCGGGTCCGGAGCTGCGACAACGGCCGCTGGCCTCGTCGGAAGACGCGGACTGCGGGGCCCTCGGCGCGCTCAGCGGGCCGGCTTTCGCGCCCCCACCCCCGGGGGAGGCAGCTCCGGGGTGATGGCAGCCCGGCGCCCGGCGGCCTCGCGGGTTACCTGAAGCGGGGCGAGTCCTTCAGACACTCTTCGAAATCCACCGTCATCTTCATCCTGCCTCCGCCTCGCCTCGAAGGCGGCGCTGGAAGAGCCGAGAGAGCCGCGGGAGCGGCTGCGCCGGGGACCTAGACAGCGACGGCGGGCGCACGGCCGCGACTAGCGCTGCGCGGAGCTGCGGAGGGCGCCTCGCCCGCTAGTCATAGCAGCCGCGAGGACGGTGGCGGCAGCGGCGGCTCGTCAGGCCCCAGTCCGGCCCCTCTTCCTCCCGCCCCCAGCCGAGCGCCGGCCACAGGGAAACCGCCCGGGAGTGACAGCCTCAGCCAGCCAGCCACGAACCCGGCGGCCAGTGGGAGGGGCTTCCGGCAGCACCGCCTGCGGGCGCTCCGGCAGCGCACCTGAGCGACGGTAGCTCGAGCCAATGAACAGCGCGACCGTGGGTGCCCGCTTGCCACAAGCGTCCCCGAGGGCCAACCGGGATGCGCAGGAGTCGTTAGGCGGGACGCTCTCGGTTGCTGGGAGGCCAGCAGCTGAGGCTCCTTGGGAAGGAAGTCACGTGGCTGAGCGCCGCGCTTCCCTCGGAGCCCCCGCCTCTTCTCGGGCTTCTCAGCCCCGCCCTGCTGACTTGCCAACGCGGAGGAGCCGCCGCCTGCAGGTCTGAGGACTCCTACGGCTTTGGCAGAACTCTGTAGAGGTTGGGAGTAGAAACTATCAAAGGAAGAGATAAGCTAACCCACCGCTTCCTTTCCGTTTAGAGAAACTGAGGTCGGGAGAGGAGTAAGGGTGGCTTTAATGATTAAATCCCTCTTTCACTTTACTGACTTCATCTCTTAATAACTTGGAAATCTCTCCCACGTGTATCTTCTCATTTAACAAGAGACTACTTCCTGAAGGAGCTGGTATTTGGGGCGAGCCTGGAAAGATCAGGATTCCGACAGGTAGGCGAAGTAGGGCGTTTGGTGTGGAGGAAACGCTTTCAAACCCGCAGAAGACGTTCCTCCTTACTGATACTTTCCTCTCAATAGCTTTCACCAGTTCAAAGACCATAGGGTTCTGAAAATCAGGCTCACTTTCTCACTTCCTCATTTGCAACACCAGCCCACTGAAAGTTGTTCTAAGAGCCCTCCCTGCAAGATATGCATCACCTGATCCAACAAGGCATTTACCATACTTCTGATTTTAATATGCCATTGATGGTAAAAAAAAAAAATAGGATACATTATATTGACATGTAACCCAACCTAAAAGGCATAAGAATATCCATAGAAGGCAACAAAATGCATACTGTAACAGTGTAGTGGCTCTGAGTGAGAGCCTGAAGGCAAACTTTCTGGATTTACCTCCTATCTTTTCTTACTGCAAAATGAAGGTAACACCACCGATCTGATAGAGTTGCTTTGAAGCTGAAATAAGAACTCTAAAGGCACAAGACAGTGCCACATAGTAACCATTCAGTAAATGCTGGCTATTATCGTAATTGTACCACTTTATTCTTAAGTGCTATAATAAAAGTTTAAATGTAAGCCTTCTCACTTCCACTGCCTAAAGTCTTATATAACCATTTTGACCATCTGGCTAAGTGTAGCATGATGGTAGGATGTTTTACATAACCAGTGGTTGTATCTTGATCTCTTTAGCACCTTTTAGAAATTAACAGTATAATTTTGAGACATTTCAAAGAATATACAAGCATTATATATGTTTCTTCTTTGGTTATAAACTTGGTTTCTTTTTTTTAGGTTTTTATTTTAATTCTAGTTAGTTAACATACAGGTGTTATATTGGTTTCAGGTGTACAATATAGTGATTCAGCACTTCCATACATCACCCAGTGCTCATCAGGACAAGTGCACTCCTTAATCCCCATCACCTATTTCACCCATCCCCCCCATGATCAGTTTGTTCTCTATAATTAAGAAGCTGTTTCTTGATCTCTCTCTCTCTCTTATTTTTTCCCTTTGCTTATTTGTTTTGTTTCTTAAATTCCACACATGAGTGAACTCACACGGTAACTTGGTTTCTTTTTTAAATTGAATTGCATATCCCTGGAATCTACACAGCTTCTTTTGAAAACTGGAAACTACTGACAGTTAAGCCTCCAGTATCCCCAGACACTTCAGTTGGTCAAGCCAGCCTCTTCTGGATTTATAACTTATGTGTCAAATTTAGAAAGAGAGTTGGCCATTTCTGCATTTAATTGTATTCCTGATGCATGACAACTAATCTGTATATACAATAACTAATTGTTGCAATGCTTCAACACAATGTAACCTTTTGGAAGAGGTCTAACTTGACACTTTGGGATTCAAATTAAAATTCAGCTGCATGGCACCATCAATGAAAATGACTCAACGAAGCTAATTGTCCATAATGAACATTTTCTTTCTGCGGACAGCTAAATTTATGTATATCCAGTTAGTGATAACACTATCAATTTTTTTTTTCTGCCCTGTTGTAAAGCAAGCATTTGGGGTTCTCAATTGTGGAGTATGTCCTAAATTAAGAAATATTACAAGTGGGTTAGGGTGGGAATAGTGAGTCTTAGAAGAAACATAATATTATTATTCTGGATTTAGAGTAATGAAAACCAAGGCCCCAAGGTATAGAACTAACTTGCTGGGTGACTCAAGCTAAACACAGGCCCCGTGTCACCAGACTCTTAACTGCAAACTGCCGGCTCTCCCCTTTAGAATTTGTTCTTTATAAGTGTGGTTCTATCTGCCTATGAAACATTTCCTTTTCATCCATTTCATTTTGAAGATGTAGCTCAAATGCCACTTTCAGGAAGCCTTCTCAGTTTGCTGAAATACAGACCTCTCTTTTCAACACACAGTGAAAGTTAGTCGGTAAAGGATATAAATAATCAAACCTTAAATCTCACAAATGTCTTTGCCTCAGACTTCCCAGTCCCTTCCTCAAAAACCTCTGGAACCCTGTATACCCATAGACCTTCCTTCCCAGAATGCTTCTGATTTCCTCTGAGGATACTTTTTTTTTAAATAAGATTTTATTCATTTATTTAGAGAGCATGTGCACACATGTGGGAGGGGGCAAAAGGGAGAGGGAGAGAGAACCCCAACCAGACTCCAAGCTGAGCGCTAAGCCCGTCATGGGGCCTAATCTCACAACCCTGAGATCATGACCTGAGCCGAAATCAAGAGTCAGACGCTCAAACAATTGAGCCACCCAGGCGCCCCTCTCTGAGGATACTTTTAACTGTACATCCTCTTGAGTAGAAGTTGTTCACTGCCCCTTCCTTCCCTGATCCTCCTTGGCCAAGGATACATAGTCAGCAAGAATCTAACTCTTGACAACTCACAATTTACATTCCACCTCCGTACAAGAATTTCTTTTGGGGGGCTAATGTCATCTAGCTACCCCACTGTCTTACTGTCCCCGTTGCTGTTCTCCACCAATTTCCCACTCACTCCCTGCCTTAGCCTGGCTCACTGCATTGCAAGTTATGTCAAGAGCCTGGAGTTATGATGAGGGTAACTGTGGGCAGCTACTGGAACTGGGAAGCCGAAAAACCCAGACACCTGTGGGAACTGGTTTCCCTCTCCTGGTAGCTGTATCCTCAGTCTTTCTCACCTACTGCCCAACTCTCACCAGGTGTCCTCTCTGCTCTGTATGGGTTCTGTTCCCCTGTGAGCCTGGCTTGCATATAATCCCTCATTGCTACTGGTTCCTTCAACAAGCTCGTGGTCAGATGGCTCCGGGGGCCCAAGCAGATGACGCAAGTGAAGGAAGCTGGCCAGGTGTAAGCAGCATGGGGGGGGTGGCCAAGGTGAAGGGGGGAAGCATGTGCCCCGTGTCCTGCTCAGCTCCAGGATGTTTTTGCCATATCAGGCCTTCAGATTTTATAAGAGAAGCCAAACAGCCAGATTTTAATGTGAAACCTCCCCAATTTTCAAATGTTGGCAACACTTTCAAATTATTAGAAAACATTGCACAGGTCACAAAAATAAGTTTCAGGACCACTCTGCAACTGCCATAGATTTTTTTTGACAATTCTTGATCTATCCTTTCAACCTATGCTGGAGCTTACCACTTTAATCTGTTTCCTAATTCCCAGGTCCCAGGAGAAAACAGATTAACCCAGCTCATCTTTTCATGACAGGTCACACAGGTGCCCAGCCAGCTAATAGGAGGGTCGGATTACCCCACTTAATCATTCCTACAGGAATGGGGGTCAGGATGGGGGCTATAGGACAAGTGCCTAGTAGACAAGGCAGTTTCCCTAAAAGAAAGTATTAATGGCCTGGTCCCATAAAGCACAGCTAGTAAACCTTTATGTTTGGCCTCTGACTCAGTCCTCCACCCCAACTCCTGCCCCCAGCTAAGGTGATTTTAACATTCACTCATTCTTTCTTCATTTAATAATATCCATTAAGCAGGTATGCTGCCCAGACACCATGACAGGCTCTGAGGTTTACAAGTGCGATAAACAGTATTTCCCCTCTAGAGTTTGGAGGGCTGTGCATACTCTGACAGTCATTTCTCCTGGAGAAGGAAATAAGGGTTCTTATATCTTGCAGAAAAGATCCAAGGAAAGGTGAGGAAGTTTTTTCCAAGGACCTTTAGTCACAGGGAACTGTGTGACTAAAGCAGAGGTTAACAGTGACCAGATACAAAGGATTTTGCCACCGTAAGGAATTCATATATATTTTTTTAAAAGATTTTATTTATTTATTTGACAGAGAAAGAGAGTGCACAAGGCAGGGGGAGCAGCAGTGGCAGAGGGAGAAGCAGGCTCCCCAAGGAGCAGGGAGCCCAGTGTGGGACTCGATCCCAGGACCCTGGGATCATGACCTGAGCCGAAGGCAGAGGCTTACACTTACACAACTGAGCCACCCAGGTGTCCCAGGAATTCATATTTTAAGGCAATGGGAAGCCATTAGAAGAATTTAAGCCTGGACTGAGGCGAGACAGTTTGAATTTTAAAGGAGAGTGCGTCAAGGAAGTGGGGCTATCAGGACTGAGACCAAACACACAGCAGTTGAGAGGTTTTCAAGCAAGGCCATTGATGTTTAGGCAACAAAATCAAAAGGATCTGATGATCAACTAAATGTGAGGGAGGAAAAAAAGACTAAAATCTTAGGGTGACTCCAGGTTTCAAGTTTAGAGAATGATTAGTGGGATGTGGTGCTATCCATAGAGAGAAGAAAATGTATCTCTTTGTCTCAAAATATGTCACTTCAGACAGTCCTTACATATACCCACCTTAAACCTCGTCCTTAAACCTTGTACGTTCCATACACAAGCTCAGCCTCAAATGTCTCCTGCTGTCTCGCATA